CTTCGAATTAATCGTCTTGACACGCAGCTTGAATCTTCCGCTGACAGGACGGTGATCCGAGACTTTGATGGTGTCGTGTCGCCGGTATTCCAACTGCTTGATCCTACCCAAGCCGCGGTACAGCAGCCGATCACACCATGCAGGTGATCGCTGCTTCTCAGAAGTATCGTAGTTGTCGGTCCCCACGTCATACTTGTAAGTCGGAGCAAAGTTGATCGGCATCTCGGTGAACGCCCTCAAGCGGAAACCAGGATTGCGCTTGCGGGACAGAAGTAGCTGATCACGTTCGAGAAGCTTCGCCAAGTTGCCTTGCTGCACAGCAGCGACAACAGTGTTGCGAGGCATCGCGTCGATGCGGTAATTCAGATCGCCGTTCAGGATACAGATCTCGTGATCCAGAACCATGGAACCATCACCACCTCCAACAAAGTAGTTTGCGCATGAAGTTGGTGAGCGGTTCTTTGGTAACGGTGCGTTCTCCATGATTGCGGCTGCATCGTTGTTGCGATGTACTGTTTGGGTCTGACCAGCTGCAAGATGGCAATTGATAAAGCAGAGCGATGAATCGTCGATGAAGAAGCGCACAACGAGCGCACCCTTGTTGCCAACACGACCGCTGAAGCCAAGCTTAATTTCAGCTGCACATACGTCGCGGATGTTGGCCCGTTCCGAAGCCTTTACAAACACACAGGTGAACAGACCGACGAGGTTGGCCGTATGCAGGAGTACGTAGTTCTGTTTTGGACTGTACTCGTCCAGGACGCGAACAAGATGGTCGCGCCACGCTCGATATTGATGTGACATGTGCTCGCTCTCCGATGTCTCTTTGTGCTTCTTTCTTTTGAAGATACTCTTGGCTGTGATCTTCTTGTCTTCCAGATCGACCAGTTCCTGGAAGCCAAACACAAGGATATCAGGTGGATTCTCAGGTTCGAGTAGTTCCCGGAAGAAGTTGCGGTCTTGCTCTGTATTACGTAGATTTGCGGGTTTGACTGCGCCGGCGTTCCATGTCATGACTCGCGCCGAGAGTTCTCTGAATTCGCAGTACTCCCCATCACGTTCTTGCATCAGGTTTTCTGCAAATTGTTAGCATGGCACTACATGATACACAGTACGACTTACCGAGCCAATCGTCCTTCATCATGCCGTCCCAGACGCGCAGCATCGTGTCTGTGCCAAGGGACGCAACCTGGAATCTATCGAGTTTCCAGATGCTCGTACGATCCGCCAAGATGCCCGCTATTGGCTTGTCGTGTGCCTTCCAATCCTTCAACACCTTCCAGGGTGTCGACTTGGTGTCGTACACGTATATCATTCCAGTACTGTAGCCAGCCCAAAGGACGTCACCAACACCGACCAGGGAACTGATCTTGTACACACTAACATTCACGATTCCAAGGCATTCGAAGCTCTTCTTGGAGTATATTGTAACTTTCCCGTCTGCGTGTCCGAAGTACATGCGGTCGGGCTGGCTGCTGATGATAGCACCGGAGGTTACGTCTCCGACATTGAGCTGAGATAACGAACCCTGGGTTAATTGCTGGAAATGGTTGTTGTCCGACGTGCGGGCGTAGACGCGGATGTCTTTCGTCGTGGCTACCCATAATTGCGAGCCTGAGATGATAGAAAAGGTGCTTCCACGGGGGATACGGTAGGTAAGCGGGGTCTGCTGTAGGGACGGGCATCCGAACTCGTCAGCTGGCCAAATGTGTAGTACGCCGTCCTCATCAAGAGACCACATTTCTGCAGCATAGCGGAAGATCTTAACAATGACACTCCTAGCGTGTGCGTTACTCTTAGTGTGCACTACACTTTGCGTGGGGATGTCAATCTCATGCATTTCGCCTGTGTTCGTTCCTAGCCATAATCGCTTGCCTTCGTCTTCCACATCTTTCGCTGGCCTGAAGGCAATCGCTGTGGCTTTGACTGTATCGCCATGAGCTAAGCTCATGAGTAGTCGCCCGTTCAGAACGTTCCATACGTTCGTCACGTATCCGGTTGTACATATGTAATCGCCACAAATTGCAAAGAGCTTGGTCTCGTAGCCGGTGGGGATACCGGCTATGCCGTCTGGGAACACTGGTGGTCTCCGATTCGCTTGTGAGGAGTCCGGGTAGTCCGTTAAAGCAGTCGTCGGTTGCTTGTCTGCGCCCGTATCTTCTTCATCCGAGTCATAGGTATACGGCTGTGATAGCTGCGATGCCTGCGCAGTAATCGGCTGTGACGGTCTTCTCATTTCCCCCGAGTTCCGTGGAGGCGGTGGTTTCGGAGGTTCTAACGCTTTTCCGGGACTAGCGGATATGGCACCAGTTGTGTTGGTCCGCCGAGGAGGCGGCATGAACTTGTTGTTCGCTTCTTGCACCATTTGCCCAGGACGGGTTTGATCGAAAGACCGTCGGACTGGCAAATCAGGAGGAGGTGCTCTTTGTAGTTGTACACTCTTCCGCAGATCGAAATTGTCCTTCTCTCGTCGCGTAGGTAACGATGGGCGGTCTTCCGGCATGTCAGTCGGTGATGGTGGCGGCATCGTCTTCTTCAAGGCCTGCTTTCCTACTGGCCGGGGGTCCGCGAATGGGTGGTTCTCGGCGACTGCGTTAGATGCGGGAGGAGCTGCGAAATAACCATTGTTGCCTCCAGTCATCTTTGGTTTCGAGAAGCCTGGGATGACTGGCGGAGAGAACTCACCTTTCACGCTCTCTCCGCTACTGCTGGGTGGTGTACTGAATGGAGAAATATCTGCAGCGTCTGATGTGGCTTCGGGCGCCAGATTCGCACGAGCTGGTAGATCCACAGAAATCGACTTTGGTGGGATCTTTGGTTTACCGGCTCGATTCACAGGCGGGGGTACAGGAGGCGCAGAGGATACCGGTCGATCACCCTTTCGCGGGTCCTTGGCCGAGCCGTCGCCTGTGTGGGTTGGAAATGTAGATTTCGCGTCCGTCGCGGGGGTGCCATTGCGACTGGGCATCTTGAAGAACCTCTTTCCGGCAGACACCGCTGAGGGCGAATCCAGCGCGGCGTGCTGGGCAGGTCGCTCGGGCTGCGGCGAGAGTATGGGAGAAGCGGAGGACTTGGGCGGTGATCTTGGTGACTGGACAGTAACCTTTGGTGGGGACCTTGTTGGTGATCTAGGCGGAGAAAAGGCCATCATCGACGTCGGTCTCTGCTTTGTATTGCCCCAGAGCGACCTTCCGAGGGTGTTCGAGCGCGGAGTCACTGTCCCACTCCCACTGTAGTCGGCCACACTGGGCGAGGGTCTCTCAGCATAGTCTCTGGGCATGTCCAAGGATATGCGCCCATCTGTCCTCCTGTTGTCCTCGGGCATAGCAAGGCGATCATTGGGGCCGGGCGAGCGTTGTCGCGGAGTGGCAGGCGCGGCCGGTTTGTTTGTGCTGAGGAGGTTCTCGAACTGGGCGCGGAGGGAAGACACTGGCTTCTGTGCTGGGCGTCAGCAACATCTTCGTGCTGGGAAGGAGCTACTCACTATGGACGAGTCGTCCATGTTCTCCTCCTGCTGGTTGTCCATGATGATTGTGTTGTCGTCAGCCGGCACCGGGAGGTATCCTATAGCTGCGCATCGACCAGTGAGGTCTTCTTCCCATTTGGCGCTTCTTGTGAGGGTGGAAGGGGAGGCTGTCGCTCGCGGGCCGTCATGCAGCCAGCGCTACGGAGGCAGGATCCAGAAATAGCCTGTGCAGTAGTGTTTGTGGTAGTGGATACGGTGGCGGTGCGATGTGGTAGAGGCCCGAGTGACTGTAGGGCTCCCTAGCGGAGACGCGTATACTGGCTGCTAAGAATGTTCGGCGACAGGGAAGACCGGCGACAGCGCGGGGGTGCAGGTGTTTCGCAACTGTCGGAACGCAACGGCTATCGCGACTGCTCTCCGTGTGTGTGTACGGTCAGGTGACGTTCCGGTTTGCAGGCGATACCCGTGGACAGAGGCTCTTCAGGGCTGCGTTGGGCGCGAGCGGCTTGGAGCGGTGTTGTCGTGTCTTGCTACTGTCATTCCCCACAGCGCAGCAGCACGGAACCCTGCACACCACCAACGGCAAGGCGATCAGGCACCGGCGAATTATAGACGAGCATACAAAACGCCAAACTAGCCAGCCTGCAGCCGTCAGTCTGTACTCCCATAGCGCCGTAGTCCCCCTTCACCGACACCAACCATGTGGTAAGCACGCTTTTCTTGTCGCCTCCGAGACTCCCCCGCCATGACCTCCGCGGCTGGCTGATGCCCATGTAGCAGACACGTCCTCAACGCCCAGGTCTCCATCCGCTCGCCTTGCTGTACGTCGCCCATCCTGAGGTGTATGTGATGAATGCTGAGAAGGGATAGGCAAGAAATGGTTCGACTGCGCGGAATGTCACCAGGAGCAGAGCGACCACCCGCTCATGCAGACGTTTGACATGGTCTTCATATGCAAAAAGTGCAAGAAGGCCTTCCGTAAGGATGCGCGCGAATTCGAAGACGCGTAAGAATGGGATGTGTATTTTCATGTGGCGCTGGCTGATGAGTGGTAGCGACGAGTACTGCCCGCACTGCGACAACCATTTCGTTCTAGAGGCCAAAACTCCCAAGGCCTCGCTGCAGGTCGAGGGCGAGGATGTTCGAAAGGACGCCAGGCACGTCGCATCCCTGGTTAGTGACGGAACATTGCTAACAATTCTGCAGGATGCTCAAGGACGAACGTGTACGAGCCGAAGAGATGCGCACCATATTCGATGTCAAGGAAGCACCGGACAAGTTGGGCTGAACCAGTGGGACACGGCGACATACAGTACTATGCGTAGCACAAGCTACAAACCCGTAGGGCGGGGGCCCTCACCCAAGAACATCACGCGACGAGCGAGGGGTTGGACGTGGAAAGACACTTCATGGTGTGCTAGATTGCCATTTATGAGCACTAGCTGGTCGTATCTGCGTTATACAGAATCATAAAGTCTATCACCCGACGCCACTGCTGTTCATGCCTTTTCGCCATCAGTCGTTAACCATGCCTCTATGCGCCACCGGATCCTGAGCCCTCAGCTGGGGTCTGGCGGGTGAGAATAGCGGCCTGGCCTGTACCGGGCTGCCGTCCAGGCCTCCTGTTCGCCGCCTCTTCCTGCTTCTCTGTGTTGATGTTCTCCACGTATTTCTCAATGTCCTCGACGGGCAACATCTCGATGGGCTTTCCGGGTGCCATGATGGCAATCTCGATGTTCTTCGCGCCAGTCTGTACCACCTCCAATAGTGACTTGACCGTCAACTTGATAGTCTCTTCCCGGTCCATCCCTTCCTTGTGGTTACGTTCGAGGAACTCGCGGACTGTCTTGCTCGACCGGCCGATCGCATTCGCTTTCCTGGGTAACATTAGCACAGAGAAGTGTAAAGATGTGTATGCAACCTACCATGCTGAGTAGATACCAGAAGGCTCGGTCTGGTACAAGCGCGGGGTCTTGTCATTAGGGTCGAAGCCGACTATCAGTGTGCTGATGCCGAATGGTCGGACACCACCACTCTGAGTGTATCTCTGCTGCACACCTGCAACGTACTTGGTGATGTACTCTATCGATACCGGGTCTTCGACTGTGAGGCGATGTGATTGTGCCTCGAGGCGGGCCTTGTCGACAAGGATACGGGCGTCGGCGTTCAGTCCAGCGAAGGCGAGGGCAACGTGGGTGTCGACGAGGCAGATCTTGGAGGGTGTGATGCGGGTATCTTGCAGCTTCATTGCGGATCGCTTCTCGCAGCCGAGTACTACTATGTCCGAGCCCTTGACACCAACGGCGCATGTTCCTGGGGCGAATGAGCAACTGACGTTCGTTTTCTCCTTCATAGACTACACACCTCGCTTGACTGCTTCGAGCGCATATTCAACCTGGAAGACGTGACCGTCAGGACTGAAGACTGGCGGAGTTAGCTAGGCCCGCATCTCCAAGTGGTGGTTGTTTGTACCGGAGAGAGCTCGATCGTAGCCGGACGCCATTGTGAAAGTGGATGTATGGTAATCTGTAGGCTCCTCGTTGTTTTCTTGTATACGGCGACGATGGCTAAGAAAAAGCGGCTGGGCAAAGAGGTACGGCTGTTGTCAAGTTGCTCGCGGAGCTCCAGAGCTGTCCGCGTCGCTGCTCCCGCCTAAACTACGCCAAGGCGTCTGGCCCGTGCTTACCCTGTCGAATTAGGTCATCATGGTAGATATTCGTGAAGGCGACTTGATTATTTCCGCCGCCCGTCGCATTTCTTCTCCGGTCAATTGGGATGGCATCTTCAGCGCGCTTGGTCTCGTCACTGCGACGAACTGCACTCTCTTCTCGCGTCGCATCGCGCTATCAATATTTGCGACCAACAAGTCAAGTGCGATGGACGGGTAGTACGTCAGCGACTTCGGAGCCTCACCAGCCAGACGAAAATGGCGGAGTGAAGGGTCCGACCGCGTCGTCGAAATCTATCAAGTTCACTTCCGAGTCGTATGTGCTGAGGTTTGGAATTTTTGAGGGATTTGCTAACGCCACGCAGATACCCGCATCTTCAAAGAGACTCCAAATTCGCCAAAGTCAGCGAGGAGCATGTAAAATATTTTCGAGAGCTTCTAGGTTCCGATTCGGCCATCATAGATGGTGTGTCGAAAGATGCATCGGATGATATTGAAGCCTTCAACAGCGACTGGATGCGCAAGTTCCGTGGCCATACCAAACTAGTCTTGAAGCCCAGTTCCACCGAAGAAGTCAGCAAGATCCTCAAATACTGCAATAACAACATGCTCGCCGTAGTACCTCAGGGCGGTAACACTGGACTTGTTGGTGGCTCTGTGCCTGTGTTTGACGAGATCGTGATCAACATGCAGAGGATGAACGAAATTAGGTCCTTCGATGAAGTATCTGGTATCCTCGTCGCTGATGCTGGCGTGATCTTAGAGAACGCCGACAACTTTCTCGCTGAAAAGAACCACATCTTCCCATTGGATCTCGGTGCTAAGGGCTCTGCCTACATTGGTGGCAATGTTGCGACAAATGCCGGTGGTCTCCGTCTCTTGCGGTACGGTAGCTTCCATGGAAACGTCCTAGGTATTGAGGCAGTCCTTCCGGATGGTACCATTGTAGATGACCTTTCGACGCTCCGGAAAAACAACACTGGTTATGACCTGAAGCAACTGTTCATCGGCGGAGAAGGCACTATCGGCATCATCACCAAGGTCTCGATTATCTGCCCAAGAAGGTCACCTGCCGTCAACGTTGCATACTTTGGGCTGGAAAGTTACGAACAGGTCCAGAAGGCGTACATCGAGGCGAAAGGGCACCTATCTGAGATCCTGTCAGCCTTTGAGCTGATGGATGGTCGCACACAAAAGCTGGTCAACAGGGTCACCGGTAAGAAGATGCCTCTAGAGGGCGAACATCCTTTTTACTGCCTGATTGAGACCAGCGGGTCTAACGCTGAACATGACGGCGAGGTAAGCAAGCCCATGGCACGACCATACCGGAAGTTGACCTTTTTAGAAACTGCAAGCATTCCTTGAACACGTAATGGAGACCGAAGTCGTATCCGATGGTGTTCTCGCCGAAAACCAAACTCAGATTCAAGAGCTCTGGTCATGGCGCGAAGGCATCACCGAGTGCCTTGGTCATGATGGAGGTGTCTACAAGTACGACTTGTCGATACCCATCGCTGAGCTCTATGATCTGGTCAACGAGACACGCGATCGCTTGACAGAGGCTGGACTGCTTGGCAACGACTCCTCGCACCCCGTAGTTGACGTCGTTGGATACGGTCACATGGGCGATGCCAACTTGCACCTCAACATTCCAGTCAGGAAGTTTGACAAGGCTGTAGAGAAGAAGCTCGAGCCTTTCGTTTACGAGTGGGTACAAAAGCGTAATGGCAGCATCAGTGCCGAGCATGGCTTGGGAGTGACGAAGAAGCCATATATTGGATACAGTAAGAGTGAGACCATGATCAAGTTGATGAAGCAGATCAAGGATCTATACGACCCTGTAAGTGGCTGTTCGAGCTCGATCCGTTTTCATCATGTGCTGACTTTGACAGAACGGCATCATGAACCCGTACAAGTACATATAGACAGACGCTGCAGCACATCCAGTAGACCATTCATATACACATTTTTATCCACCTCAGATCTTGCTCTTCCCTTTTCCCAGCAGCTTAACCGCATTACCCTGATAGATCGCATCTCTCTCCTTTTCTCCAAACAAACTCTCCAATCCATCCTTCATCCTCTCTGCAAACGCCTTCACAAACTGCGTCTGCGTAAAAGGGAAATCACTCCCATACAACAACCTCTCATACGAGATCTCGAATCCCTCAACAAACGCCTTCAACTGCCCCTGCCCCCCACTCTCTCCATCAAACACAAACCCTGCGAGATCAAAGTAAAACTGAGTATCGAGCTGCTTCCGCACCGTCGAAGCATTCAACACCCTCCCGCCCGGCACCACGCTGGAGAACTGAATAAACCGCGTCATAAGGGGCGGTAACGCACCGCCAGAATGCGGAATTATGAACTTGATGTTCGGACACCGGTCCACCGTCCCCGTGCTGAAGAGATTGATAACCGCCCTCGCAGTATCGAAAAAGAATTCAAATATAGGCACGGGGTATTGCTCGCCAAATGGAAGCGCGTCTGTCGTCTGGACCGGCTCAACAGAACTCCTAACGCAAGGTTTAGTCGGATGAATGAAAACCGTCGCACCGATCTCGTTCAACCTGTCAAACACCGCGTCCATCGCTCCATCTCCCAAATAAACCCCATGGTAATTCGTGAGCAGGCCAAAGCCCTCCACGCCTTCCTCGACGCACTTCCTTATCTCCGTCAAACTCGCCTCAACATCCGGCAACGGCAGTGCAGCCCATACACCAAACTTCTCGGGATGTTGCTGCTTGAGAGATGAGGCATAGGCGTTGCATTGCCGTGTTAGATCGATTGCTAATCCTGGATTGCGCAGGTCGATATTTGTCCCCGGGCTGGAAATGGAGAGGATGGATTTGGAGACGTTGGCTGTTTCCATCATTTCTAGGTGTTGGGGTGGAGACCACGAGGGGATTGCGGGCATGCCGTCGGGATGTGTGTGCCCGTTTTCGGCGAGGGCGGTGCGGTAGAAGGGTGGGAGGAAGTGCGAGTGGACGTCTATTCGTTGGGGGAGGGGGGGTGTCATGTTGGCTGTGGGTTGTTGTAAGAGCGCTGTGGTTGTGTGTGCTAGAAGGATGATTAGGCTGGGGATGGATGGGGTCATTGTGGTGGTACCTTTCTGAGATGGATGTGATGGAAAGATCAGATCAGATATATTCACAGAAAGTCGATTTGTGTTTCTACTGGACTTTCCGCTCTTGTCAGAAGTAACGAATGCTATGCTTACTTATGCGATGCAATGCGCGGCACCTGCATCAAGTGATCCATTGACATCCGGCACCCCGCTCCGACGGTTGCACTTAACAGAGCGAAAGCACGTTGGTCGTTGTGCAACTCTTTCAGTAAGAACCTGTACATAGGCACTGCGCCTCTATTATGTGTGAGCATACTGCGCCCACAAGCTGGTCCAGCAATTGCAAGCTTGGGGACTGGATGGCTACTGCATTCGGACGAGACTTCTCATTCCAACGCAGGATGTAGCAAACAACAACGTGATAGCAGCTACTCTTAGTGTTCCCCCTCAAAACTATATGACTCTCACCGCACGATAGTTCACCCATTGAAATATCGCGTCAGAGCGTGTGAATGCTCAGTGCGGCACGCATGCGCCGATAAAGGATAATGATCCTGACCGTCGATCGCGTGCCCCACCCGCGCCTTCCAGATGAGCGGCGGGTCAACTTTTTGATTCCATCACTTGCAGCCATGACACAACGTCGTCCGCCACACCACCTTTCCCGACACCCTCAGTCGCGCCTTCACGATGGAGAGGATTACGGATAAGATCAACGCGCTGCCTGATGGCGCCAACTACTTCTCGCTCGAGTTCTTCCCGCCCAAGACGGCCATGGTGAGTCTGCCCCGCTCGCACGCGACGAATGTGGAGGGCTGCAGTATGGATAGGGAAAGAACATCGCGAAAGAAGAATTGGTCGCTAATGGCTCTCTAGGGATTTGCGAACCTACAAACACGTTTAGAGCGCATGTCGCAGGCTCTCCGACCACTCTTCGTCACCGTCACCTGGGGTGCCGGCGGATCAACAGCCACCAAGTCGCTCGAACTCGCAGAGATATGCCAGCGCCAATTGGGTCTCACAACATGTCTACATCTGACATGCACAAATATGAACCGCCAGCTCATCGACGACGCGCTCGAACAGGCAAAGGTGTTGGGCATACGGAACATCCTGGCGCTGAGGGGTGACGCGCCACGGAGCGACGAGTACAGGGACGAGGGAACACCGCCGGAACAAGACTCAAACAAGGACTTCACCTGGGCGATTGACCTGGTCAAATACATCCGGAAAGAGTACGGCGACTACTTCTGCATTGGTGTCGCTGCGTATCCAGAGGGCCACTCGGATCAGAGCCATCCCAAAGACCAAGATCCGATGCACGATCTGCCATACCTGATTGAGAAGACCAAGGCTGGCGCAGATTTCATCATGACCCAGCTCTTCTACGATGTTGAGGCGTACGACAAGTTCGAGAAGATGCTGAGGGAGCACGAGAGCGGAGTGTTCAAGACGATACCGATCATACCGGGGCTGATGCCAATACAATCCTACAAGATCTTGCTCAGGACGACGAAACTATCGCATGCGAAGCTACCATCGGATATGCTGAAGCGACTGGACGCGGTAAAGAGCGACGATGAGATGGTGAAGCAAGTCGGCGTCAAGATTATGGACGAAATGGTGGAACACATCAAGGCGCGGCCGGATACTTGCAGGAGAGGTTTCCATTTCTATACACTGAACTTGGAAAAGGCGGTGTCGCATATCGTGGAAGACACGCACCTCATACCATCCACTATCGAAGACGACGACGATGTCATTGTCG